TTACTATCAGACCACTGTGTGATGAAAATAGAAGTCAGCTGCACACACAAAAAAAGAGAAATTTTGTAGCATTTGGAAACTTAGTAACATATTCCTGCTCACCCAGTAGGCCACAAAAGAAATCAAGGAAAAAATTAAACATTTTCTAGAAGCAAATGTGTTTAACTTGCACACACATTGAAACCTATGGTACACAGTGAAAAAAGTCCAAGGCAGGATGTTCATTGCAATCAGTGCCTACATTATGAAAACAATGGATTCAAATAACCTAATGAGGAACCTCATGATATATGAGAAACAAGTCAAGCCCAAACCAAAATTAAGAAGGGATATCATAAAGCTCAGGGAGAAAATTAATGAAATCGAGACCAAAAAATGCAAAGAATCAACATATTGAAAGGCTGGTCCTTTTAAAAAATATACAAAATAGATAACCCCTCAGCAAAAAATTATCAAAAGGAGTAAAGACTCACATCAGTGCAATTACAAATGTAAAGGTGGCAAGAGACAAGAAGATGGCGGCTTGATAGGTAGCTGGGTAGAGAGCCTCTCTGGGAAAAACAGCTCTGACGCTGTAATCTGACAACATGGAGAGGGCTGGACAAGAGGAGAGGGATTTTAGCGACTGAGGAGGAAACTGAAGGAAAAAGAAAAATAGGAAGAGGAAGGAAAAACGCAGGTGGAGGGCTGGAGCCAGATGTGCTCACTGGGACCTGTCCCATGCTGTGCTGGGCACACCGAGGAGTTGCAAGATTCAAGGTCGCACTTAAGCCGTGGCTGCCAACAACGGGAGTTGATGAGTCCTGGGCCCTTGGTGGGAGGACGCAGCCCAGTGTAGAATGGAGCCAAGGTGGAGAGCTGCATTAATTCTTGACAAGTGCTGGAAATTGGGTCCCACAGCAGGTGTGGCCAGCTGGAAGACATTGCAGTTGGGCAGAATAGGCCTGAGACCAATGCTGTGGTGGCATCAGTGAGCCACCTCTGGTCTAAAGCGGACTGATGGGACCTGCTTGGGCTGAGTCATGCCCCTGGTTAGGACCCAGTAGCCAGGGACAAAACTGACCTGATTCTGTGACATCTGCCACAGCACAGCCTAAGTTGCTGAAGGCACGTGCCAGTTGACTGGCTCAGAGGAGAGAGGCTAGCCCACAGTCCCTGCATGCACCTCAGATAACAGCAAACTGGAGAGGGCAGCAAGCCCCCAGCCAGCATGCTTCAGAAAAACCGTAAACAATACAAAGAGGGCCTGAGACCTCCACCATACACCTGTCTGAAAGAAACCAAAAACAAGACAAGAGGAAAAAAAAAAAAAAAAAAAAAAGAAAGAAAAAGCTTCCAGCCACTGACTCTGGGAAAATAAGCCCAGGAGAGGTAAATACAAAAGAGAACCAGTGCAGCAATCATGTCATATTGGCCACAACATCAGTGGGCATAAAGAAATACCTTCATGACCTCATAGATGAACTTAAAACTGAAATTCTAACCCAAGTGAGGCTAATTTTAGTGAAATTCTAACCCAAGATATAAAAAGACTAATAAAAGAAATGCTAAGCCCCTCTCAAGAAGACACAGATGGAAGAATGGAGGAACCCATAAAAGGAAGAGAAACCTTTGGTGACGAATATAAACAAAATCTAGAATACATGAAACAGATCCAAAGAGATTACCAGGAAATTAAAAACTCCATTGAAAGCTGGCAAAATGCCTTGACAGAGACTAAAGTTAGCCTTTCAAAACTTGAAGATAGATTTGCAATGTGTGATTGTGAAAGAAAAGACCTCTTAAAGATAACAAGGAACCAGGAAGTAACAATTCAAAGGCTAGAAGATGACAAGAGGATCTATAACTTAAGAATAAAAAATGTGAGCGAAGAAGCAGGAGGGACCACAAATGAATTACAAAGGCTATTAACAGAAATAATTAAGGAAAACTTCCCAAGCATAGAAAAAGAAATGATATCCAGATAAATGAGGCATACAGAACTACAACCAACTACAACCAAAAAATATCTACACCCAGATATGTAATAAGCAAAATCCCAGAAATCCACAAGAACAGAATATTAAAAGCAGAGAAAAGAAGCAGATCACCTATAAAGGAAAATTCATCAAAATGACAACAGACTTCTCAACACAAACTATCAAATCAAGAAGAGCCTTGGGGGCTGTAGTCCAAGCCCTGAAAGAAAATTACCTCCAACGCAGATTGATGTACCCTGAAAAACTCTCTCTCAAAATTAATGGAGAAACAAGATGTTTCCAAGACAAGGAGGAACTGTGGGAGTTCATAGCTACCAATCCAAACGTACAAAAAATACGGAAGGACATGAGAGAGAGAGAGAGAGAGAGAGAGAGAAATACCAGGATTCCAGCAACAGTGGCAGAGAGGCCTCAATGAATGGGGCAGACAGTGGAGTGAAGGAGAAAAGTGAACAAATAATAGCAGAAAAATAGAATAGCAGAGATGAGGCACAGAAAGTGGGCTATAATCTCTAATATAGATAGCCTTGATACATTAACAAAAAGAAACACAGGCAGAGTACATTAGGAGGTAGGATCCATCGAGATGCTCTGAATAGGAGATATACTCAAACTGAAAGAGGGTTAATAAACTGAAAGTCAAAGATGAGAAAATGATGTTGTATGTGACAGGGAACCAAAGAGAAATAGGGACAACTCGTCAAGCAGCTGCAGATAGGTTGGAAAGTCATGACACTTTTGTGCAGTGGAGAACTGCTCAGCTAGAAGGAAGGAAAAACCTTGTGGCTTTAGTTAGTACAGGAATACTGCTCAAGATCAAGCTCAGGGGTAAGGCAGATAATGGGTTGCCCCCTAATCTAAAAACTAAAGGAGCTAGAGGGACCCAAAATATACAAAGCACCCTGAGAAAGGGAAAGGTGAGGAATTGCCTAAAAAAGGAAGGCAAAGGACATTGTTAATAGTGTATCGGGATTTAAAAGCCACATTAGTCTTATTGCTCTGCTTAGTTTGATTTTATTTTGTTCTGGTCTATCTACTGATACTAGATTTGAGGGCATAGACAGCTATCCCAAAAATAGCAGGCTATACTATGGTAACTATCCTTAATTTCCTATTAACTTAAACTGAAGCCCTGTATTACTTACATTGTCTTACTATGACTGATTTTATTTGAAGCTGATTTGTTAGAACGCTGTTTTAGTCTTGACTGATTTTATTCAAATTTGGTATGCTTGATAGTATTAAGTCTAAGAGTAGAGGCAACTACTCTGAAGATGACAAGATGCAATAGGATACCCATTCTGGTTTGATTATCAACTGCTTTTGAAATGCTACAATGTCTCCAATGTTGTGTTTCTATTAAAAGTGCTATATAATGCTATTTTCAATTGTATTGTCTGATGATGTAGACAATTCTATTGAAAATAACAAGAGAAAGTATAGTAATTACTGTAGATCACCTAATATTGTGGTTTTATATGTCTTTTTTCATTTCATGTTTTTCTAGGAATTTGTTTTGTTGTCTTCTTTTGATCTGTTTTGCCCTATAATACAGAAAGGATAGATATACATGTAGAGGTTCACACATGTGGAAAATTTCTAAACAGTTTATGGGACCAAATTGTATAATGCATGATGTAATGAACAGATACTCTGAAGAAGAAGAGATACTAAGATACCCAGTGCTAATTCTGTAGCATTATGATATAAAATCTAGCAATACTATTATTCACTATTCAGAGTGATATTAGTTTAATCTCATGTTTAATTTCAGCATACGTAAAGATATGGTACAGCTACCTCGAAGAGAATGAGAGACATAATAGCAGTCATTGTTGACTTCCCCAATGTCAGGTCTTGAAGACCTAAAAAGCCTTCATCATCCTGTTATGATTAGCTTAGTTCTATAATGTTCAGTATGTATTCAATATGTGTGAAGATGGGGACAACTATTTGGAAGAAAACTAGAGACAATATGATAGACGGTGAAGATCTCCACTGGACTTGCTTTGAAATCTGTGTTTCTTAAAATTGTTTCTTTATGATCTCTTTTGTTCCATTTTGTTATGTTTAATTTTACGCCCTTTAAAATAAAAAAAGACAGGGGTTGGGGATTTAGCTCAGTGGCATAAGCACCTGCCTTGCAAGCACACGGTGGTGAGTTTGATCCCCAGTACCGATTAAAAAAAAAAAAAGACTTCAAAAATTAGTTCTAATAAAAAAGACAAATGTAAAGGTGAAATCACAACAGTAGAAATTCAAAAGATAGTTGATAACTGCTATGAAAAATTATATTCCAAAAAAATGGAAAATCCTGAAGAAATTGGCATATTCCTAGTTGTTCACAAATTACCAAACTAAATGAAGAATGCATAAAAATAATGAAAAGCCAATAAGAAGGAAATTGAGGCAATAATAAAAGAAAACATTTTCTGTTGGACCATTGTTTAGTGTTCTGCAAAAACCACATTTGAATTCAAAATTGCTAATAGGAAAAGACAAGGAACAGTCTTACACTGACGCTGGGTATTTGTCTCCACCCAGAATTCAGCCTGTAATCAAGAGAGAAATTTAACCTTAGATGGCTAAATAGGGGGTGAAGAGGCCTCAGATAAAATGTTTTTGATGTAAATTTTTTGCTTTCTCATATTTCCCTGTGTCATCACCCTGGGCTGCATAGGCGCAGTGACTATTATGCAACCTCAAGAGTGTGTTCCAACTTTTAAGTGTGGGTTTCTTTGTGAACTTCAGTGAAGCAGGCTTCTTCCCTGACCTGCTTCTTTTTTGCTCATTTTACAGCCAGTTATTTCTATAAAATAGAATTTACTTGAAGAATTTATTTTCATGATTTAATGATTTTCTTAGTTCAAAACAGAGTGCAAAATGGTAACATCTGAAAAATTAAAGAGAAATTTAGAAGTAAATGATTCGTTTTACATTTGTCATATATAAATATATTCATAGAATCATTACTATGAGTCTTAACCTTCTTTCTGAAAATAATGTATGTTTGTGATTTAGGAGGCAGTTACCTTTGAGGATGTGACAGTGACCTTTACCATAGAGGAATGGGATTTGCTGAATCCATCCCAAAAGAAGCTCTATAGAGATGTAATGTGGGAAACCTTTAGAAACATGGCTGTTATAGGTATGGATGATATAATTTTCTAATTTATACATTCAGAGAGAATTGTTTTTTCCCCACTGATGCAGTTACATTAATTAGAATATGAAAACATTTTGATAATATCTAGACTTGGTCACTTTATACAGTGAATCTAACTGGAATCTATAATTTTTGTATAATAATATATTAATTTTTATTTCTATATCTACAATTTAGGAAGAAACCAGATGAACCAGCAAACTAAAGAAGAGTACAAAAATTTTTGGAGAAATCTAAGGTAATTTGTTCTTACAGGATAAAAGAGAGATCCTCAAGAGTCAGAATGCAAGTATATTAAAACCAAGCAAACTGTATACATGATACCATGAATAACACAGACATTCTGCAAATATGTATAGTTTGAGTTCCTGTAATCTGATGTTTGGATATATGAAATTATCCAGTTTTGGGAACTCAGGTATACTGAATTTATACAACAAATGATACTATCTGATATATCAATGTATAAAAATGTTCTTCTATGATTAACATCATAAAACTGTTTGAAACTGCATTTAGACTTTAGGAATATGTAAGGATGAGATGAATAAATTTTGTATTATTTTGTTTTGTTTTTTGTGCCAGGAATTGAATTTATAACCTCACTCTTTTGAAGCCATCCTATAGAAGATTTAAGTTCATTTATGTTTTAAAATTCTTAGAAGTCATTCTCCTACATTGTTGGTGGGACTATACATTACAGTCACTTTGCAAATAGGTAGATGTCTCAAAAAATAAAAATGGTAATTCCGTTTGATACAATTATCAATCTTCTGAGTATATTCTTAATAGAGTTAAAATCATAGTGATACATGTGTCCACATGGTATCATGATGTACACATGATGAAAGTAGCACAATTTCTAATAGCTAAGTTTTGGAAATAGCCTAGACGTCCATCAATAGATGGATGTGTTAAGAAAATTTGGAATACATTCAGCATGGTGAAGCATACTTCTAACCCAGCATATAGGGAAGCACAGGTTGAAGCTCTGCCCAGATTAATGATTAATGATAAAATTTCACAAAATAAGACATTAAAAAAGCTAGAGATATGATTCAGTATTGAGACTATGAATTTTACCTCATCCCAGGAAGACAAAACAAAGCAAAAAGAAGTCATGCAGTATATTCAACCATTAAAAAGTATGAGATCACCCTTCCGTGAAGTGAAATTATTGTCTTAGAAAATCAATAATGATAATGTGATCTTTTTTATTGTGATTTTTTTTTTCAGTAGAAGTGAAGAGGTAGAAGAAAACTATGACTACAAAAATTGGACTCAACATGAAGAAATATTTTTTGGAACTTCGGATCCTAATGGGAATGTGAAAAAACCTGGTTTTAGTCCAGCTGAAAGCCTTGATTGTAGAAAGCCCCTGGTTGATCATTTATCACTAAATGTCGCCATCCTAACTCACACAGGACTGAAACCATATGAATATAAAAGATTTGAAGAGAAACTTCATAAGTATAATGAACATGGGAAAACTTTAAGTGAATTTGAGTCATGTCAAAAGTATGAACGCATAAACTATGGAGAGAAACCATGTGAACATAAGCAATGTGGGAAAGCCTTCATTATGCACAGTAATTGTCAAATCCATGAAAGAATTCACACTGGGGAAAAACCCTGTGTATGTAAGCAGTGTGGGAAAGCTTTCTGTTCTAACTGTTTATTATGTGAACATAAAAAAACTCACACTGCAGAGAAACCATATGTATGTAAGCAATGTGGGAAGGCCTTTGGCAGACACTATAATTGTCAAATACATGAAAGAAGTCACACTGGAGAGAAACCCTATGTATGTAAGCAATGTGGGAAAGCTTTCACTACACAAGGTCATTGTCAAAGACATGAGAAAACTCACACTGGGGAGAAAGCTTATGTATGTAAGCAATGTGGGAAAGCCTTCAGCAGACAAGGTACTTGTCAAGTCCATGAAAGAATTCATACTGGGGAAAAACCCTATGTATGTAAGCAGTGTGGGAAAGCTTTCATTACATCCTGGCATTGTCAAAGACATGAAAGGATACACACTGGGGATAAACCTTATGTATGTAAGCAATGTGGAAAAGCCTTCAATATGTACAGTAATTGTCAAATACATGAAAGAATTCATACTGGGGGAAAACCCTATGTATGTAAGCAGTGTGGGAAAGCTTTTAGCAGATACTATGATTGTCAGATACATGAAAGAAATCACACTGGGGAGAAACCCTATATGTGTAAACAATGTGGAAAAGCATTCAGTACTCATAGTAATTGTCAAAAACATGAAAGAAGGCATACCGGGGAGAAACCTTACATATGTAAACAATGTGGCAAAGCATTTAGTACACGCAGTCATTGTCAAAAACATGAGCAAAATCAGACCCGTGAGAAAACCTACAGATGTAAGCAGTGTGAGAAAGCTTTCTGTTCTAAGTGTTTATTATGTGAACATAAAAAAACTCACACTGCAGAGAAACCATATGTATGTAAGCAATGTGGGAAGGCCTTTGGCAGACACTATAATTGTCAAATACATGAAAGAAGTCACACTGGAGAGAAACCCTATGTATGTAAGCAATGTGGGAAAGCTTTCACTACACAAGGTCATTGTCAAAGACATGAGAAAACTCACACTGGGGAGAAACCTTATGTATGTAAGCAATGTGGAAAAGCCTTTAGCAGACAAGGTACTTGTCAAATACATGAAAGAATTCACACTGGGGAGAAACCATATGTGTGTAAGCAGTGTGGAAAAGCTTTCAGCAGACATAATGATTGTCAGATACATAAGAGAACTCACACTGGGGAGAAACCCTATGTTTGTACACAATGTGGAAAAGCATTTGCTGATAACAGTTCGTTTTATAGACATAAGAGAACTCACACTGGGGAGAAACCCTATGCATGTAAGCAATGTGGGAAAGCATTCAGTACATGTAGTGATTGTCAGATTCATGAGAGAAGTCACAAAGGGGAAAAACCCTATGTATGTAAACAATGTGGGAAAGCATTCAGTACAAACAAGTATTGTCAAATACATAAAAGAAGTCACACTGGGGAAAAATCCTATGTAAGCAAGCCTGTTTTGAAAATTCTATAAATTTCCTCATGTAGTGGAGGGAGACTTGTAGAATTAAGTAATATAAAATGTTTGTTATCAATTATATCAAGAATGTAATTTTACTCTTATATCAGAGCCATTATATGCATAAAATTTTGTTTTAACCTTGGAAGTGTTACTTTTCATATTTATATTTTCCTAACTTTCAATTTGGTGGTAAGTTTTCTATCAGTTGTACCAAAAATAGTCACACTGCTGTGAGTGCTCATGGCCACAGACCAATTAGGACCTCAATATTTTACAAATTGTGTATCATGAAATATAGTATTATATCAGTCCAAAAAGTATAAGTGATGGTGTGAATTGTCAGCATGGTATTTCCAAGGAATTTTTGCCAGCAGTGGAGCTGTTTTGTTAATGGTTGCTATTGTAATTAAGTAGATGCCTTTATTCAGTTCCCTGGATATAAATGCCATTCTATGGTAATTACATTTTTGCCTAAAAACCTGAAATAGCAGCATGAAGGAAAGCCTAATCCATGAGAGACATCAGTCAGTTTAGTAAGTAAGTTTTATAAATTTGATTCAGATTGTGTTGTTTTACTTGTATTATATATAAATTTATACAGTGCCCTTTTTTATTATCTATGAAGACTGCTGTCTGATGATTGAGATATGTGACATACTTTCAGTCACAGATTTGACCAAGTTGTAAGCTTCCTAACTTGTATTTTTCCTTCTTTACATTTAAACAGAAAAATTGTATAAAATGTTTTGAATAGCATTGCCCATGAATCCAGAAGCTACTTAGTCTCTCATGGGATTACATTGTTATGAACCTATGATAACATGAAAACATAAGTGAGCAATACATTAATTATCCCTAATGTTGTGAACATTATACTTGCTTGTCCTGGCTTTAATTATACTCAGACACATAAGTTAGTCATGAAAATTGGGTAATACTGTCTAAACTTACGTCTATTTGAAAATACCACATGAAATAGCTGATATAATTCATGGAATATAGTGCACTGCAGAGTAAACTATCAGTTTTTATACATTGAAATGATCCTAAATTCATTGTAACTCACTTCTGCTTTTACCATCACCAGTAAAGTATGTAGTGTATATTATTACTGGTTTTCCAACAAGTGATGGCATGTTTAAAGTAGAAGATACTTTAAACATATCCTGAGCATATTTACATTCCCATTATTTTATTATCATTAAAGTCTTGCTGTCCTGGTGGTGCATGCCTCTAATCTCACTCACTTAGGAGATAGATAGTAAGAGGAAAATGAAGAAAACCTGGAAAACTTCATGAGACCCTGTCTGAAAGTGAATATAAAGGTCTACTGATGTAGCTTGGTACTTTAGTACTGTTTTCTCAGTACCAATATTATTGTAATACCATTACATTTGTATTTGTCCTTTTCTCAATCTATAAAAGTCCAGGCCAGTTCAGGTGCAATTTTTTAGTCCTAGCTAAGGCAGGATGATCATGAATTTGAAGCCAGCCTGGGCTACTTAGCTAGATGTCTTAGCACTATATAATAGTTGTCTTTAAGTTAAAAGAGAGAAATAATTTGGGTTCAAAACTAAAGTTAAGATCAGATAGAGAAAATATTACTATCTCAACTGAAAATTTATTGCTCAGAAAATATTTTTATTGAAATGTTTGTAGAGCACCCAGTGGCCTGCATCATAGACTTTTAAAAAATGAACAATGAAACACAAATAAGCTAATCATTCCATGTTCTGAATATAAAGGCATGAAATAATTTTTCAATGCTGTTACTGATATTTTTGTTAGAAAATGAGATGGGATATTAAAAACAAGTGAACAAATTGGATTATATCAAATTAAAAGAATTCTATATAGATATTGAGGATTTAGCTCTGTGGTATATGCACCTGCCTGGCAAGTATGAAGTCATGAGTTCAATGTCTAATACCAAAAAATAATAATAATAATTCCTTACAGTGATGAAATAACATGCATAATGGAAAAAAATTTTCCAGGTACCTAGAATACATAAGCAACTTTAAAAAAAATAGCCACTCATTAAAAGATATAATTGAAAAAATGGGCTATAGAAATATATACTTCTCAGAAAAAGTACATGTCAGTAAGTACCTTAAAAATGTGGCATTTTTAACCAGTAGAGAAGATAATTTAAAACAAAATCTTGTTCCAGAAATAAGAGCTATCCTCAAGAATCTGAAAAACAAACTCATTAAGTTGTGGAAGGAAACAACCATTTTGCAGTGTTGATGGGAATATAACAAGCTTTCCACTATGGAAGTCAGTTTAGAAATTACTCAAAACGCTGAATATAGTAATTCCATTCACAATGATTTATTTCCTGGGTGTCTTCTCAAAAGATTTAAAAGTACATATTTCAGTGACACAAGCAAATCCAAGTTTATAGCAGTACAACTCATAATAGCTGAATCTTACAAATGGCCAGTATGTCTATCAACAGAGGAATCAAAAGAATTGTGGTATGTATAAACAAGAGTACTCCACCTTAAAGAAGGATAAATTCTATATCTTTTTTTATTTTAAAAATTAAAGTTATTTGTAGAAAAATGGATAGGCCGTCAAATCATAATGGTAAAAGAAACAAATCAAACATAAAATGTAAACTATGACATGATTTCTATAACATGAAAAATACAAAGTATAAGTTAAAGCATGAAGTGAAACGTTGGCTAAAAGAAAAGAGGCAGTAGGAAAGGGATCTAGTGGTGGGAGGAAAGCTTTGTGAGAAAAAAGGTTAAGGATGAAAAAGCTATATGTACATGTACTAACTCATGATAAATGAATTCATTATAATATACACATGTACTAATAGATAAATATCATTTAATGTAGAAAAATAAGATGATTAACATGGCAAAACTTCCATTGGTCAGATTAATTTTAGGGCTATACAGGCAATGTATCAGAAGCCATAGATGCTTTGTATATTTTCTCTATGGAGAGTAGCATATGAATTATTGAAATATTATTATGACTCAGTCTCCATAAGTGACACCCAGTTGACCCTGCTTGAACAGTTGCTCAAGGATCAATGTTGACATTGGAAGGCAGTGCAGATTCTGCTGCCTTCTTTGGATTGACCACCATGATTCTTTGAAGTAGAAACTACATAATTTTTGCAATGGTAAAAAGTTTCATGGAATGTAATCCACTATCTTGACTTGAGATTTATTATTAGTTTGGGCCGTGATTTTCTGTCGGGAACACGTTTAATGACATTGGAGGACACATACTACTTTTTTTTTACTGTATTATTCTGATTTTGTATATATACCGTGAATGATGAAAAACCTAGTCCCACTTGCCATGGCATTTTTCCCAAGTTAGGAAGGATTTAAGGAAAAATGCACGTTCCTAGCACATGATAGGAGATTCCTATAAGGGGAGAGTGTCATTTATAGAAAACCATTGTGGTTTCTCACATGAAACACTGAGAAAATATCAACAAGAGTATATCATTTTGCTAGTCAACTTTTCATCATTTGACAATAAAAAACACGTAAGTTACTTAATGGGCAAGATTCCACAGTTTCACATGTAGAACCAGCCCATAGTAAGCTGGTCTTACTGCCTTTGAATCTATGAGGAAGGAACATGTAGCAGAAAGCTGCTCATTTCATGCATTAATCCATTGATAAATTTAATTCTCATAGTACATTTACTTCCTCAAAGACCATCAGTTGTCAAATGACTGTGGCACTTTAGTTGTAGGAGACATTTGAAACATGATTACAACAATTTACATCAAGTGAGGTGAGCAGTGAGAGCTTAACAGTTTGAGATTCTTATTCAATGAGATGGTAATAGCTGACATACGCAATGGAGACTTGTTTAATGCTTTTTTTTTAAATGTGCTTTTTTTTCTTTGAGACAAGATCTCATTGTAGTTCAGGCTGACCTTCAGTTCAATATGTAGCCCAGGCTGGCCTCAAATTCACAGTGATCCTCTTGCCTCAGCCTATTTAGTGCTGGTATTACAGGCACGTGCTACCACATCCAGATATTTAGTGCCTTTATAAGAACTAAATGCATTATGTTTCACTTTCAATTTGTTGTCCCTAGATATCACTTTGATATATACTAACTCAGCAGATCTTATAGAAAAGTTGAAAAAAGTAACTACTTTGTGTTTTACTAAAGAACAACCAAAATCTTATGCTCTGTGCTTGCCCAGGCAGGTGCTTGTGCCACTGAGCTAAACCTCTTGCTCGATATAATTTTTAATCCACCTGGATTTCTGATTGAACATTTTCTTAAACTCTGACTTTTGCTAAACTAGTTATTCATGTTTTATATAAATTTTGTTAGCTCGTCTAGCTATTCATGAAAGCTCCTAGATCATTATGGTTATTACTTTACTTCCATAAAAATTGTATCAAAAGTATGCCCAGTAGAACCAACAAATGTGACGGCTGAATTTCAGAACTTAAAAACAATAATGCTTTAAGGACCAACTGTTTGATGACACCTTAAGCAACAATATAACATGAAAAATGTGTTCAACAGCAGCTAGATGACACAATGAAGACTATGAGTAACTAGAATAGGTTAAAATTCATAAGACAACACAATGGCATTTTTAAAAATTGATTCAAAGAAATAATAGCAGAAAATTCCCCCAGATATAGGGAAAGAAATAAATGTACAGATAAGACAGAAAAAGTAAGCCCTGAGTAGCCCCAACCAAAAGACTCTCTATGCACCACATTATACTCAAAGTATCAGAATCGTACTACAGTGACAAAACTTTAAAAGCTGTTATAGAAAGGCAGACTAACATATATAAAGGGAAATCCATTAGAATTATATAAGACTTTTCAAAATAAACCTTAAAAATCAGGAGAGCTTGGAGTGAAATGTTTCAAGTCCTTAAAAAACTGCAAACGCCACCTTTTGCATCCTGCAAAACTTCCTTTCAAAATTGACAAGGTATTTACATGACAAGGACCACCTCAAGAAAGTCATGACCAGAAAACAAGCATTACAACAAATAATATCTTAAAAAAGACAAGAAGACCAACCATGCTAATAATTTGTAAAGAATGAATACACTTGGTGGGGTGACTAAGAAAAAGGGGGAAAAATAAGGAAATCAGCAAAGGGAAAATAATGGAATGACAGGAA